TGGGAGTGAACCTCTCTATGGACAAGCTGAGGGAAAAAGTGAAGAAAAAAAATAAAAATAAATAAAAAAAAAGGGAATAAATATTTGGGAGGAGGGCGTTTAAGAGGAGAGAAAAACAAATTAAAGCTGGTGCCAGGCTGGAACCAGCAGCTGGTTGCCAGCACAGCAGGCTGAGAAGTTGTTGGTGGAAGCTCTCAGTGCCATGTTTGGGTTGCTTAAAAAAATACGCCCTCCCTCCCTCATTATTCCGCCTCTGTTTTTATGCTGGCCCCACAAACAGGAGGAGGAATTTGTTTGCCAAACTCAAGCTTGCAAGCAGTTTGTATTTACAGCAATGCCAAGGGATGCAAACGGGGTGTGCCCTGCCCCGTGACACGCGTGTGCGCACACGCGTGTGCGTCCGTGAGCACTGCATCTGGGCTGCAATTCACGTTGGACGTGTTGTGGGTGCATTGGCTCTCTGCTGCAAGGAGATGCCAGTGCATTGGAAACCATGGCACGATTTTCGTTTGCCGATGTGAGGGGAGGAGGTGGGAGGGCTGGGGATGGAGGAGAAAGGATGGGGGTGGAAGGTTGTAACGCTTGGCTGGAAAAATTTAGAGGAGCATAAAGGACAGAGCGATGAAAAAGGGTGGCGTGAGGGGGGAGGGGGGGGGGAGTGGGCTGTGAGGGTGCGGGGTGCCTTGGGGAGGCTGACAGCCCCGGCGGCGAAGCGACGGGGCTTTATTTTTCCGCCTTTCTTTCCTCCTCCCTCCACTGGGTGCCCGGAGGAAGAAGGCAAGACAAAAAGCTGAACCGGTGCCAAGAAGGAGCTGCAGTGACTTGAAAATGGCACTCTGCGCCGCACTAATATTTCGAAGCCGGGCTGCACTGGAGAGCAGCGAAACGTGCCAGGAATGAGAATGGCTGCGGCCGCAGGGCCGCTGTCTGGGCTCAGGGCTGTTCTCCCACCTCTCCGCTTCCCCTTCGCCTTTTAAATGTGACCCTCTGCTCCCCCATCGTCCACTCCTCAGTGATACTTAGGGGTTCTGGGAGAAAGAGGGGACCCTTGCTGGGGACTTGGGGTAGAAAGGGAGCAAGGAGGGGGGCAGCCCCCTGCACCCCGGGGGCTGGTGCAGCGTGGGAAGTGCCCAGCAGAAATGCTCTGCTCGTGGCCAGTCTCTAGCCCATGTGTGTTACAATGCTCACTGGAAAGGATTATAAGCAGAGATGGAGCGAGTGTGCTCATCCCCTCCTGCCATCTCTGTATTAGGGAGGGATTTTTATTTCTTTAATTTTCTTCCTAGGGAGGAAGAGAAGACTTGATTCCCAGGGAGTTTTCTGATTGTTTTCCTGTTGCCACTCCTTCCCCTCCTCCTCACTGTCCTTCTCCTCTCACTGTACCCATAAGGCTGCTCTCACGTCTCTGTATCCTGATGCAAGGTTACTTGTAGGACACACAAATCTCTGCAAGGTGCAGCATCGCCTGCATCGGTGTTCCCCTCTGCTTCTCATTTGCCGGAGGACGAGGCAACTTCCAAGCAGCGATGTGGCTCAGCTGAGTGCCTGGTTAATGCAGTGGTGGTGCTTTGGTTGCAAAAGCCCCTTCCTGCAAAGCCTGCCTGGAGAAAAGAAACAACAACAAAAAATTATATAGGACTGAAGCTTCGGCAGCAGTTCATAAGGTTGATTAATTTGCAAGGGATGGGCTGGACTTTTGCTGTGATTTCTGTCTGAAAGAAAAGATTTTACCCTATATTGGTCCCCTCTTCCCTCCATTCACAAGCTAGGAAAAAGTACATAAAAGTACCTTTTTAAATTTTTTTAATGGGGTTTTGTTTTTTGGGTTTTTTTTGTTTGGTTGGGGTTTTTTTTTTAAACTTTTTAAAAAATTATTGCCAGCACAAGCATTCTTGTAGTAGTTCAATAGTTGAAGCTGAATGCAAAGATATTCCCCCCACTGCACACATGCTCCTTTCTGGATCACGCTGGTATTTGGATCTGAAGTTTTAGGTTGGCTTTACAGAAATTGGAGACTGGAGAAAGAGAAAACCCCTGCCTTCGGGTTTGAAAACGGTCCAGATCCTGTTTTAACAGCAGTTTTAGCACTCACACAGCCAGCAGGTCAAGCTCAAGGAGACCTTTCTATAGCACAGGCAGAGGCTTATTAACTTGCTGCATCTCAGAAGCTTGTGGGTTGTTGGGTTGTTAGCTTGGCCCAGTTTGTAGTCTCAGGCATGGGATGATCCCCGTGGCCTCTCTCTCACCTGAAAACTGTACATAGTACAGCCCTAGTACATATCCAAACCTCTTCAAATCTCACCTTTGGTTTCAGACACGTAGACCTGGTTTTGGAGCACCTAATTCTGCTGAAGCAATGCTTCTTGGAAATACTGTGATAAATGCTGAGGAATTTAGGGAGACTTAAAGGTGTTATCCAGCCTGCTCTCCTCACCCTCTTCTTCTCACAGCTCCTTGCAGATCAATGGTCTTTCCTCTGTGGAGGATCAAAAGCTCAGTCTCAAATTAACACTGATAGGATTTGCACCCTTTTCTGAGGTGACGCTAGCAGGTTTTGTATGGAGTAGGATGTCTGCAGTGACTGATCCCTTGTTCTTCCTCTTCTCAGCTGTGCCTTGAACCCTGTAGTTGTCACAGTTCAACTTGGGCTTGCACAGAGGAGGTGCTGTAGTCTCTACTTTCTCTTTTTTATTTGTTGCAAGTGAGGGGTGTGTACTTCTTGGCCCAGGAAACCTTGAGGAGAGTGAAGAAACCATAGCAAATGTCAACAAAAGTGTTGGCCAAGTAACTTGGAGTAGGCTGTGTGCCATTGTACCTTCCACTTGATCCTGTCTTTTCTTCCTACCATATTCCAATCAGACATTGGAATAATCTCCCCGGGGAAGTGGTGGATTCCCCAACATTGGACCCTGTTAAGATTCATCACGACAGGGTGCTGGGCCATCTTCTCTAGACTGTGATTTTGCCAAGAAGGGTTGGACAAGATGATCCTTGAGGTGCCTTCCAACCTGGCATTCTGTGATTCATGAATAAAGTATATGCATAAAAATATGTGGGTTTGTATGCACACATGTGCTTGCTGTTTGCTTTTCAGTTGCCTCTTTGAACTTAATGAGATGAGTTATGTATTTAAGCTACCGTCCCCACCAAGGACACACACCATACAGACCTTGCCTGAATTTCCCAGAAGTCCTTGCTCATAGTTTTGGCTGCAGCTGCACCTCTTTCTCTGGCCACAGCATTCTCTTTTTAACCTGAGATCCTTGACCATGGGATGCTAACCTACAAAAGCAAATGCCAGGATTGAGAATTAAACCCCACATCAAAGTGAGCAGAGGAGACCCTGGTGGCTGTCCTAACCTGCCATGCACCTGCACAGAGCATGGCTCACACTTTTAGATTTGGAGCTAGCTTGCTACACATTTAAACCTCTTAATACTTCAGTTACCAAATAACAACTCCCAACAGGTTTATAAAGAGGATCCCAAAGGTACAGTCAAATATTAACGTGGACCAACAGCATCTATGTGTGCAAAGTAACAATGTGGTGTTTGTTATTCAGGAAGGTAAACTGAGGACAGTAAGTGAAGAGACCTCCCTAAATCTTTATATTTCAGAACACAGATCTCTTTCTCAATCTCTTGAGAACATAGATCTCTTTCCTCAATGTCTTGACAATGCTCAGGAGTAAGGGAGCTTGTCCATCTTGGGGGAAAAACGTTACTCTTGCACTGTCCAAATGGTTCAAGTAAGCCATCTGGGCACCTTGGTCATACTTCCCGAGGAGCATTGCAAGGCATTGACAATGCAGCTGAATGTCTTTGTCTTAATTTCTCCCTGTATCAAAGAAGTGTCTGTGCATGTATTTCCCTGAAACATGATGTCTCATGAATCTCAAGTTGCTTCCTTCAAATCCTTCATCCTTTTAACACTTTATAATGAGAAACGTTGTCTGCTTGGAGTTGTTAGGAGATAACTTGTGTCTAGAAGAGTTAATCCAGAGGACTCTTCCAAGGCTATCTTTCACCCCTTCTCCCCACACCTTCCCCACTCCCAGTCTTTTTTTTTTTTTTTTTTTTTTTTTTTTGGACCGGTAACCTCACATTTCTGTAATCTAAATGTGCAAATGCTTTGCAGTCACGGTCCAGTAGCTGGGTTAATCTCAGACCCCTGGAGTGGCAGATGGCTGATTTGTTGCTGATTCCAGTTACAGAGAATCGTGCCACCTATTATCTTTGCACAGGCTGCTGCTTAAAAGGATGCCTTGGGCAAAATCGGGGAAAAGCAAAGCAACGCAAACACTCTCTGATCTGCATCACCACAGATGAAAATGTAAAATATTTCACCTTTGTGTGAAGGGCTCAAGAGGTGGACAAAGAGGGGACAGGAGGCAGGAGGGGAAGAAGGGAAGGGGAAGATCTCATTTTCATGCCAGAAATCCAGAAGCACAGGGTAGAGTGGGTTTGCTGCAGTCATGATGTAGAATCACAGGCACTTACCCTGTTTTAAGTGTTTTTGCAATGTGGTAATGCTTGGCTTTGGCTCCCTACTTCAACTCCTAAACAAAGCAGGCAGTTTGTCATCCTGTGACACCTTCCTGCTCTTCCCAAGCCTTTCCAACACGGGTTGGAAATCCATGGAATCCACGGCTACACTCCCTGCCATCACGGCTCAATGCATGCCCTGTGGCTGCTGGGAAAAGCCGAGATGGCCCTGTGATGCTGATATACTTACCAGGGTTAAGTGGGAGGAGAAACCGATGCTTCTGTGTGGGTTAAGGATAAGCTTGGGGGACCTTCCAAAACGAAGCGGGGCTGAGTGTGAACCCCAGCATTGGGTGATCAGAGGGCTCCACCTGGCAGGTGGTGGAGGGCATGTAGAAAGATGTAATGAAATGGAAAAGGGTAGAGTGAAACTTTGGATGCTTGTGACCATTTTCTGCACAGTCATTCCCACAATCAAGGTTCTTTCTTTTCTTTTTGCTCTGGGAAATGCCACAGAGTCAGATGAAGAATTTGGGAAGAGAGTGTGGGTTCCCTGTGCAGAGTCCAGTGACGAAATCTGTGAACAAGGTAAGAACAAGAGGTTATCACTGTGAAGGTTTTTGTTTCTTCCTTTTCCCCTTCTGAACCCCTTATTGTGGTGTTAGACATGAAATTTAGGATGTGCACAGCACAAAAACTGGTATTCCAAGTGCTAAGCGAAAAAGTCTAAAAAGATCAAGCTAAATGGAGCTTCCTTTTAATGCATGCCATTATGATGGTTTGGGTTTTAGAACAATTTGTATTGTATCCAAATGATCTATGTGTGAATAATTGTTACCAGCCTCCTGACACCAGGACCTAATTAGGAAGTAAGAGCCTTAAATAGGCCATTTGCGTAGTGAGCTTCCATATGTCTCCTTGCGCAATTTATTTGCTTCACTCCATTGAGATATAATGAGAATGAAACTCCTAGAACTGCCTTTGACTCTGAGGCTCTCCTCTTCATCTCCTCTGTGGTTATAGCCCACTATTAAGAAGATAATATCTTTTTCCCTTTGTTCGGAAATAAAAAGCTACTGTACTGCTGCTCTTATCCCAGATTGCCCAAGTTTCTCTATTGCTGAGTTTCCAATGGAAATAGAATGAGAAATGCCAAACAACCTGCAGCCAAAGAAAAATGTAATGCTGTCAGAGAAATCACAAAGAGAGTTAGGGCAGGATGATCTTGAAGGAATACTACCTACCATATCTACCTCAAAACTCTGCTGAAAAAGCTAATGTCTTGGTATTTCGGTCAATGTATAGCTGCAATTTGAGGATCTCTGTGTTGGTTCTGTTTGGCTTCCTTACTGCTAGGATGTGAGGAAGGGGATACAAGGCTGCCTGAGTTTTGTCTTGGTTTTGAATATTTAGCTCAGTCTGAACTAACACACTCACTGGCACTCTCCATGTTATGTTGCAAAGCGTGATCTTTACGTATGGTTTCAAAAGATATCCTTTTTTTCCAGACACCTCTTATGTGCATGACTCCAACCTGTGTTTCAAGTGTCCCGCTTCATTCTTCTACTCCCATCATGCTGAAGTCAGCAAAACTTAAGCTGATTGTAGTATGATTGAGTTCCACTTTCTGCAGGGATGAACTGCTCAAGGTTTTGGGTTTTTTTCCCCCCAGATCAGGGCCTTATTTAGTTTCCCAGTGAAAGACAGTTCCACTTGCAATGATTTTGTTTATGATAATTCACTTGCATGTTCCCTTCCAGGAATTGTCATTGCCTTCCAGAAGGGAGGTTAGTGCCAGTCCCCTCGCAGTGATAATTATAATCAGACCTGTCAGCCTTCACACAGTCTACGCTTATCACTTGCATTTAGGAGGATTTTTCCTGAAGCCTATTACCACTGCCGCTTCTTAGGGAAAAATAGTCATGATTTTTTCTGCTAATCTTTGATGGCTCTCAGCTTTGAAAGCACAGAGAGGAGCAAAATGACTGCCAGTTGCAGTTAAAGAAACTGTCTGTTTACCCTGCTGCAGAGCTCTGCATCTGGAGAGCTAGGGAGCGGGTGGTTAGACTGGGAAGTGCTGAGGGGTTTAATTCGGTTGTGACAACACTTCAGGTATGCGAGAGATGCAGAACGGTGCTTTTTCCAGTGGTAATGCTGATAGAAACTAGCCCTGCAGACCCGCTAGACGAGGGCTTCAGGTGGCAGGTGGTTGTTGGCAGTGGTACCTTCTGTCCCTGCGGTTTTGGGCAGCCGTCTGCGGCTCTGTCCATGTGGAGCTGCTTGGCTGCAGGATGGATGGAGAAGCGGCTGCGGTCAGTGCTGGAGGTGACGACTGGCATCCAGGCATGGGCACAATGCAGGACCGATGGACCCACTCCCACTGGTACCCTGCAGTACAGCCGTGACCAACTGGCCAATGTGGTGGTGTTGGGTAGGATGTGGTTCGGTGTTTTATTCATCCCAGGATGCTTGAAAATTTTCCATCCTAGTGTTATTCACTGGGAAACACATCAGCCCATTTACTAGATTTCTCCCCATTTTCACCCCACTATTTCTATTGATATGCTGATAAGCCCCCTTTCTTTGGTTTTTGCTTTTTCCTAACAGAAAAAAAAAAAAAAAAGAAGTAATTTTTATCACTTCATTAGTCTAAATGAGTGATCTATCTTTCAGTCCCTCCTATGTTATCAGCATGCTTTTTGCATTGTTCTCAAAGATTTGGGTCCCTTGGTTTTGGCAGAATTTGAAGATGGTCAGCACTTTTGTAGCAAAGGAAATGGTGGGACAGTGGGAGCCCTTACATTCTATGCAGTTACATATTTACAGTGTGCAGAGATATGACTTGCTTTTGTTTTGTTTAAATTCACTGGGAACTAGAGATTTATTTATCAGGTGTCACACCCTGAAGGAAGATAAATGCCACATAGCAAAAACTACATCTATTATACAAACAGATCTGAAGGCTTTGCTATTGCATTCCTCTTCCTGCTGCATGGAGTAAAAATGCCTTTGGCTGAACGGAGATAGAGTGATACTTAGCGGTAGCATCTTATGACCTTTTGATCAGCTGAGATCTCAAGCCATATTAGTGGACAGATTATGATGTGATGGAAAGAGGGCCAGGAATAGCCTTTTTATCATGAGATCCTTCCTGTGAATATCCTTCTTTGGTATATTCAGGTGGTTAATCACTAGGGCCAGGACAATAATTGGAAAACAGGGGAATGAAATACTGGTACAGGCAATCCAAACACGTTCCAGTTTGCCAACTGCAGTTGGATATTACAGCTTACGTTTTCTCCCTAATATTCTCCTACCCTCCTGTTTCTACCAAGGCTGTGGGTGACCTTGCAATATTTCCCATCTCTAATAACCTCATTTTGGCAGAAAGAGCTACACAAAATGGACCCTGAGTCCTTGGACAGCAGGGGAGCTGCAGTCCTCAAATCGAGAGTACGCATATCAGGAATATGGATATCTGGCTGTGAAGGGAACTATTCACATGGAAATGCCTTGTGTCATTTTTGAGATAATAACAGTGATGCTTAAACCTATTTCAAACCTTTTTAGGAAAAAAATGCAGGTTTTAAAAAATGCACACCCCTCATAGTATTGCTCTTTTTATGGAGCCAAATCGAAGCAAGAACAATGTTTACGTTGATCTTACCTACCTGTCTGTGCAGGATGACTGCTTAAACTTTGCTGTGGGTGTAAATTAACCTCCTTTTTATCTTCATGGCCAATATGAATCTTCAGCCTCCTTGCTAACTGGGCTTAAAGGAACTCTTATTAATTGCTGTCTCTGCACATCAGTAATGGTTGCGCCAGTTTGATCTGGCTGCTGGGGCCACTTTTGGAAGGAAGGAAGGACACATGTTTGTCAAGTCCGATGTGAATGCAATTTGGGTTTGTCTGAGCGTGAGCACATGCCCAGGCAGCCCATGCAGGTTGTGGAGTACATATTATAGCCCTGTACACATTAACACAGGGGTATCTGACTTGCATGTGTTTTGCTCCTCTTCAAGCCAAATGAGCTGCTCATTTTCCCAATGGGAAGAGGGAGAAGGGCTGGTGGTGTGCAGATCCCAAACTGCTGTCAGTGTAGTGGGGCTGCTGATGTACCACGTCTGGAGAACAATAGCTGCCACAGCCCTATGGAAACTCTTTGAAAATGAGAAGGTTATGGAGGTGGAGGAAATGCACAGCAGGACACTGTCTTCTCTTATCTCCCCCAGCCTCTTCAATCAGGTGCCTGCTGGGCTTCCCACTCCTCCTGCCTTTTGCACTAGATCATAGGATCATGAGGTATTAGACTCTGCTGGCATGAAGTCATCCGCCATCCTCCTGGCATTATAGCTCCTGAGTCAGGGAGCCGCCGTGAAACATTGAGGTTGTGAGCCCACATGGTGCTTTTAGCTGCAGCTGCCAGGGCCACAGAAGTGTCCAAATAGAAGCTGGGACAAGGCACCAGCTGCCTGATACAAGTCTCCACGACCTTTTCTTTGGGAAAAACAGGCACTGCAAAGGGTGGATAGCAGCCTTGGTGCTGTCTGTTCACTGAGACAGTGCCATTGCCAAAATACAGCCAGCTCACTATGGTAAGGTGGTCCTTCCCAAGCTCCATCTGCAAACCATGAGCCAGTTGCTGCATGGGTGATGCCCATGGATGACAGCAAAACCATTCAAAGGGATGGGTTCCTCTGAATGTCTCCCATCTGAGAGTAAGAGCTTTTCACAACAGCTTTGAAACCTTTCCACTGAGAAAGCTTTGTGGTGTGTGTGGTGAAGACGGTGTAGGTACAAAAGATTTCCTCTGCCGCCTTCTGCTGCCTTGTAGCTCTTGGGTCCCTGTGGGTTGTAGGAGGGTGCCTGGGCTTGGGTGACACCATCCCTCTTGGTGTGTGATTGAGTTAGTGCTTCTATGCCTTCTGCCAGAATGTCCCTGACATTCTTCTCAAAGTAGAGAGATTCTTCTCAAAGTAAAGAGCTTGCATTCAGCTTCTTGTAGCTCAGAGGCACCCATGAAAACAGCTTTGGTCAGCTCAGCACAGAAGTTCCTATGAGACTTCTTATGGTACTCCAAAGTAGCATGGTTAGAGTATATGGCAACAGGTTGAGGTGGGATGTTCTTTTGTGGGTATGCAATTTGAAGTTGCAAATGTTGAAGATGTAGTGTCAGGCAGATGACAGTGGTGTGGGATGGGAAAAAGAGGACAGTGGTTAGTTTATGAAGTCAAGCTGCCCGTGTATAACATCTTTGTCATTTTAAACACATAACGTCTGGTTCCTTGCAATTATTGTTAGATTGAAGACAACAGTATTATCCACTTTCACACTGCATAAAAGTGATACAGTGAATCAGCAAAAGACTATCATTATAACCAAACTTAGAGCCATACACCTCCCTTCTCCTCACGGGAAAGAGGTAATCTTGCACAGGAAATGAGGAAGAAGGACATGTGTCATACCAATTTCTTAGGCTGCATCTGTCTTAAGCAAGTTAAGCAGTGTCTGGGAATGTAGCTCAGCACCCGAGTGTGACTGGGTATACTCAAACTACTAGACCAGTCCTTGGCACGCGTTTGGTC